GTCCATTGCCTTGCTGAAACCAAAGAGGACAAAAGTTAATATCAAGCAGTTTGAAAGTTGAGTTCAAGATGGATTTAATTATATCAAGAAATTGGATTTACTGCATAACCACTAGATGTGTATGACATTTCAAAGACGAACCACACTATGCACTGAGTTATTATCACTTGATTGTATGAAAAAAAAAGCAGGATAAGTAAAGCCACCAGGCATCAGCCAAATAATATTATCAAGCCTGCCTTTCACAAAAGTCAATCTAGGCAATACAATATATGCCAAAGGCTTGTGCAGAAACCCACTTAGATTTTTATTAAAGAGGTTAAGGATGGTCTTTCTTCAGAATATCTCTCAAACTTCTATATTAATGGTAAATATTCTCCTTCCACCAAGAAATAGCCATAATTACACATACTAGTATACTACACTAAGATGTTCTGAAAAGATTTAAATACTTTCTTCAAATAGGAGAATTCCACGAATCGACTTAAAGCAAAAAAAATTCACTTCAATTTTTAGGACTTGGGTCAATAACAAAGCAAACTAATGTAATGCATCAAGCATAGGGGAAAGGACAAGGTAGCCATGTAAGTAGTGCAAAATGATAGTTATACTTCACGCATATCTGCTAGGAACCCCCCCCCCCTCCCAATCCCCTCCCCCCTCAATTGATTCGGTTTGGTGATTGAGATGCTATAGGAATGACAAAATTATTTTGAGTGATAGAATAATATGATAAATTCACAATAAATCAGTACTTTAATATGGAGACTGAACTTTGAGACTGTTATTTTAGACGAAGATAAAATATGACTACATTTATTAATGCATCATATGATCATAAAAATCCATATGCAGCTCATATTGTCAGCTGTCACCAGTCAGGCAGTCACCACTCCCCTCCCCACCTCACCCAAAATAAGGGAAAAGAAGTAAAATATCTCAAGGAAAAAAATTAAAGAGATTTTTAGAATCTTTTTCTCATATCTACAATTGACGATTCACCAGCTTCCCAGCAAGATTCAGGCTTTGTTCACTTCACTTCAACAAAAATTTCAGGAAAATGTAATCACTAACTCTTGGCAATGGCTAGAAATCTAGAAATCCCAAACAAAACACGAAGTATTACTTAGACCTTTGATCCATGTTGCATGCACCTTGCTGAATCAATCTTTGTTATCTGTTACATGAAATTCACTTAGACAGCTACCCACCTCTTCTTTGTTTTGATGCACCTTTGTTTTCCGAGAAAATTCACAAGCTTTTCTTTTCTGTGGTAAAATATACTATTGTATGATACTATGATTTCTTACCTGATTGTCTCATATGTTGACTCGGTAATCCAAAATACGAAGTCTGTCACTAAATACCCATGCTTATATATTACTACAGTTACAAGTTGTCAAACTATATATGGGCCAGAATAGATATCCTCATAGACAAAGGGCACTAGGGCTATGCTTGGCACTATAAAGAATTAAAGATGGCCACTCATTTGATAATTTTGGGAATCCCATGTACAAGAAACTTTTCCTAATATAGTTGCACTTATGTTTATGACTTTTTCAAAGAGTCTCCTCAAATATATTCTTCTCTATGGGTACAAATTTGTCAAGACGATCTCTTTCGATTCCATACCATCATAAATTGAACAAATAAAGTAGAAGCAGCGTTATGAATTGATTCTAAATTTCAGTTGAGATCAACAAATATCATACAGGTTCCTCCTGTATCCATCTTCCAGTGGGAATTCTTCTTCCTTCTTGCAAGACATCCCATTAAATTACTTTTTTCTTTATCCTCTTATCAAACAGTAGATCACTATCAATATTAAAAATAGTTAAGCCAACCTCTCTACACTGATATTATCAATCAGACAAACACACAGTTTTCCAATTAACATGGAAAGTGAGAGAATATATTCTGGGGGCAAGGAGTTCATGGAAGAAGTAAGAAGGTAAATTGTTGGGAAACTTCAGACAATCATATACATTTCAAATACTTATATCACCTTACTATGGTGGCGAGAATCTAAGGGGAGCAAAAGACACAAAGGAACTGAAACCACACTAAGAATCTAAGAGGTCACTCCACTATCAATATCTTTGCAATATTCTGGTAACCACCACAACAATAACAATAGGCCCTACAGTTTTGTTAGGAATAACTTAATACTGATACCTTTGATTAGTTTTATTCTCAATTATATGAGATTAACTCTCAAATAGCTATTACTATCCCCTCACCTCTCACATATTTTGCCGATGGACTTAAAGACATGCACATGTGCATACCTGAATATACCACATCACTTTCTTTAAATTATACAAGTAGCAGTTATTGCCACTAGCAAATTCTGTAGCATTAAGAAACTCATTACTAAATAATGTCAATTCCATTGCTTCAACAACCCTTCTGGCTCGAACCTTTGAATTTAGGTCCATCAACAAGCCTTGTTGTATTACAAACATAATTGCAACTTTTCCTCACTTCCTTATAGTGGCAACTTTATCTAGTGATTAGTCAACAAATTTTGGGCCTATTTGGCAATTGGCACCACCCTATTTTTTTTTTTTTTTTTTCAACACCAAAAATGTTTGAAGTACCAATAGGCATTGAGAAGTAAGCATTTGACACACAACAGTACCACACTACAAAAAAATATACACATTCAGACAGAGAAAGCACATAATTTCAGCACGAAGGGTTGCAGATAGCAACAGAAATCTAACAGTTCTACAAATTTCTAGCAATCTAGCCCATAAGACAGCCTTTCAATAAACGGCTTTGTCAGATACTGCTGCCCATCAAATAGAAGGTTCGGTCTAATAAAATTATCACACAGATGGAGGCAAAACCAAAATAAAAATTGTTGTATGTAGAATCGACAAAAGATAACTTGACTCGTGTATCAGGTAAATCAATAAGAATAATTTCTATGGAGTTTGTGCATTGTGAATGCTAACAGCTAACAGTCTTGATACACCAATGTCCGGATCAATGAAACATATAAATGAATCACATTGTTCTATAGTGCAATATTATGTACAGGTCATTATCACTTCATTTCTAAATTCAAAAACCCGGCATGAATAACTGAATAATGAGCTGTATCATACCTGCTACATCCCTGGTAGATAGCAAGGTCATCAATGGCACTCAAAGCAACACCACCAGTAAGACAAAGCAGTGCAGTCGACACCACTTTTCGGCCCAATGATCTGCTCTTTTCTTCATTAACAGACTTCGAAGAACTATAACAAAGCCAATCCAAAGAATTAACACATACATCTGACAACAAAAATTGAACATTTTCAAAGAAAAAAAAAAGTCAATTTACAGCACAAATCAAAATGGGCAAGAAGAAAGCACAAAAATTTAAGCTAAAATGCGAAAATTAGCAAAAGGGTATTCATTAATAAAGATAGAAATCAATAAATTTCATCAAATAATCAATCATACAACTTGAAAAACTAGAACCCAGAATTCAATGAAACAAAGAAACAATAGAATATGAAGCTATATAATATATGGAAGAAAATTGAGAAATATTGGTACCTGGAAAATTGATTTGCTGATGAGATCCGAATAAGAGAGGGTAAATTTCTTCTGAACATGGTTGATTTTTCTTTCAAATTTTAATTATTTTAGTTAAACCCTAAAAAAACAAATAAAGGGTTTTCGGTATCGACTAGCGAAGCAACAACGTGGTTCCATCCATGCCACGCCTACTCAAATGGGGTTTGATTGTTTGAACACTCCTTATTTTGCTTCTGTCAAATTGTCAATTAATTGGGTGTAGTGCACCTTAGCCCAGATTGGTTTTGTGTCTCGAGCTCTCAAAGGCCGGAGGTGGCAAATGGAGTGTTCGGTTAAATTCAAGCCATAATTTTCTTTTCACTTGAAGTTTGACAAGGTAAAATGATTGTGTCGTGTCAGGTTCATGTTTGATCTTGTGTCACTTTCGTGTTATCCACAAAATCTACCAAAAAACTATGTAGAATATTAGATAATTGCATAATTTGACCAATTTATAACATATTTTGTGCGGGTTAGTTTCGTGTCATGTTGTGTCGATTTTGTGTTTTCTATCAGTAACTTGTATTCATATCGTGTCAGTTTCGGTCATGTTGTCGTGTCGTGTTAGAGATTGCAAGCTCTGCTTGAAGTCAAGAATTAATCAACTTAAGGTCGTATTCGGGCCTATAATTGTTCGTTAAACAATTTTATGTTCATCAAAACATTGATTTTGTACGCAAGCAGGGATGTTCACCAAATCAAAATTAATTCAACACTCGAAGCCTACATTGATTAAGCTGGAACTGGTCTACCAAACTAATAAAACTGAACTAAAACTCGAACTGGATCGATTTAGATCGGTTTAGAATTCTTCTTGATATATTAAAATATAAATATAAATTCTTAACCAAAAGGCTAGATCGATTTTCTTTAATTGCTCAATGTCGAATTGTGGAAGTAAAAGAGGCATCTTCATTGAGGACAACCAATTAAGGTTAAAATTTAATATCCTTGCACGGTTGCACCTCATATTATTATTTGGATCTAACTATTTGTACTATTGTAGACACACAGTTCAAGCTCGGCGGGTCTTTAATTTGTGTTCATACTGATGAACCAATTTGAATTCATACATGATACCAAGCAATCATAATCATTTTAGCGAATTCAAGGGGTATAATGATAAACTTCTGGTAATTGCGAAAGCATATAATATCAATGGATATGAAATACTTGTAGAAGATTAGAACAACTGGCTAGCTTTTCAGTCCAATGTTATGAGTCGAATCTCACAATGCTCATAAAAACATTATAGAATACTATAAAATTTGCAGATTAAAAAATCTGATGCAGTTTTAAATTTTTAATCATTAGGATACTTTTGAAAAATATGTGAGGTATTCATTCTATAATAATGATTCCAAAATAGTACTTCGTACTTTACATGCATATTAAAAATCCACACTCGAGATGTGAAATGTGAATAGATTTAGTAATCAATATGTGATCCTCTTGACCTCTTCACAAAAACTAATGTTCCCTAAGTTATTGTTCATGTGTCACATTGTTAGTTTGAAAAGAAGTTACAGTATGGAGGGTGATCAAAGTTTACTAGCTGACTATGACATCCTTTGACATATACATAAATGTATGCATATAATTGTATAAAACACTTCCATTTACATGTTCTTTACACTTTCTTTGGCCATTTTTTCCAACAAGCTTGAATTGAAGTCTAGAAAGATAAATCCTGTTAATATGATCCTAGAACAGGTTAAACAGAATGACTTTTGGCAAGTTATTCTACCACCTTTCATCCCCTAACCAGTTGTTCTTCTCTTTTGGACCACTTGGTCCAGACTGCTCACAAAGTTCTCCGGGAAGCTTGCCAACCAAGTTTGCAATTGAACGACGTAACAGCAATGGAAACCGTTTGACCACCTTATCCAGCTCTTTCCTCGAATCATAAACAATATGTGGCCCCCATTCTCTCATATACTGCAGCCAGAAAGGCTCAGTAACATCTTCTCCAAGATATTCAGCAGCAATAATCTCATAATGGGTGCTAGAATCCACAAAGAAGTTGCTTCGAGCACAATCATTTCTTATCCCAATACCAAGACCTGAAGACCCTTGAAGATAGGTTCTCGGATATGGGTAGCAAGCATGGCCATGTTTAGATGCATAGACGACAGGTCGGTTTCCCTCTATGAACTCCAAGTCACAAGCATTCTTCCACACACCACCACTGTGCTGTGAGAAGTATACACTGTGAAGTTCACCGGTGAAGTTGCTTACACGAAGAGTAAAATGTTCCCAATCACCAATATGTTCACCTGTCCTGCTCAGAGCAATATTACGTGGTCCAATCTTTATGGTGGCTGGTCCATTGAAAGGTGAAAAGAGCCACATTGCTAAATCAGTGAACGTGCCACCTAAAGCTGGTTTAACATGAACATAAAGTTTGGCTGTTTCAAGGTTCCCACGCTTGAGAACTTCCCTTCGTTCATCAGCAGGAAGGTCTAACCAAAACTCACCGTCATTTTCTCCACCACGAGGCAGATTAGAGCCTTCAGCATCAATAGGTTCACCATTAGACTGTCCAGCTTTATATAGAAGAGCTCCATTTATGAAGAACCATGAAACAGAAGAGGGAAAGTAGACCTCATCTGGATGGAGGAAAACGGTGGGACCATAGTGATGAATCAGTGCATGGATCTGATCGAGGTTTGGCATTGCATGCCAATCGAGGTCTTTGTTTTTCAAACATGTAACAGGCATTTCTTCTTCTGCAGTCCACAGACTAGTACAACAGAAGGTTCCAACAGGTACACCTCTCCCCTGCATACCTCTGTTACGAGGCCTAGTCTTAAAGAGTTTGCAAGGGATATTCCGGAATTTTGAGTTTATTTCAAGCATTGAATCACAAGTCTCACAATCATCAACAAGGTCCTGTCTGACACATCCTACTTCAGCCAGATCAGGTTTAACAGGCTGGGTTGTCACAACAAAGCCTAAGGCTTTATAGCCTGAAGGGGGTTTCGGCAGCCAGAAGTAACTATGTTGATCATAGATTTCCATGCCGTCATCTGAATTCCAGACCAAAGTATAATCAACAGGCATCATAATGGCTAGTAAGCTAGGATCTTGAGACGCCAATCCCTTAGCAACCAGAACATAGCCATTTAAAGGCTTATCATTTGGTTGGCAGTAATGACCAAGGCTGAAGAATCCTACAGGTATGTCCACAGGCTTATAGAAAGAAATTCCTTTTCTTCTGTCATGTGACAGATGAGAGCCCCAAATAAACTCGAACCTCTTTATTTGCGCAACTTCTATCTCTCCAAGGTTTATTACCCCAGTGGCAAATCCTCGCCCTGATGAATATCAACACAAGTGATAATTGTGATTATGCGATTCTATGGTACATGTTAAGGTCAAAACCATACGAACATGCTCTAGGATGTCCAGAATATACTGAGTTATTTTCATCCCAGGTAGGCTACGACTACCACGAAACTATACGATGCATGCCAAGTCCTGTTATCCTTGCTTTACTGAGTTTAGGCAGAAAAAGATGTTCTATTTTCTTCATGATAAATCAGTATCGATATGCAAAATGGGTCTAAAAGTCCATGCTGATTGATTATCTATTCCACAAACAGCAGCAATCTTTGTAAATCATGCAAAGCAGTCAAATACTCGAATAGTCATAAATGCACGGCGAGAAAATTATTAACTAACATATCTTAGTATAATTTGACTGATGTATTTCTGAATATGAAATCTTTTACTCTAGATGATTGCAACAAAAAGCATATAATGGTAAGAGCAAAAACAGAAAGAAAGCAACAGTTTGTACTATTAACAAAACAATTGAAGACATTTGCAAAGGAACAATTTGTTTAATTGAATTTAGAAAGAAAAAAAAAATGAAAACAACATTTATTGATTTGGCAGCTTCTTCAATTGCTGTACATTTCATTTAAGGACACCCATAGTCAACTATTTACCCAAACAACAATTTCTTGTGAAACATGGTCGACCATTTACCCCTTTATACACATATAACATTTTACATATTAGTGTATTACATTATACTACTTATGAATTATAGTGTGACACGGTCTCATATGACTAGGTAAAACACGCTTATATGAACATTGACAATGTACATAGTGATAAAATTAGTATGATCATAAAATTTTCTCCTAAAGCAAGATTTTGTCACTACATTAATCATAATCAATTAACCCAATTAAACAAAGATTTTACCTAACATAGTAAGCAACCTAGAGATAAAATCATGATCAAATTCGACATTTTCAACTACACCCACCCACCCACATGCTCATATGAGTGATACACCCACCCACCCACCACCTAACCCAAGTACTCAAAGCCATGTCCCGAGATCAAATCCCGTCTACATCACTGATTCAAACAACGCCAACAAATACATTCTTCAACAAAATAATAAGAACAAAAATGACAGGTAGAAGAAACACACCTTCAGGCCATTTAGGCAATGGAGCTGGTAACAAGAAAGTGTTTAAAGAAGGCGACATATTTACAGATTTAATTCCATAATTTCTGGGATACCCAACAATCTTGCTCAACCACAACCCCATCAATTCAACTCAACTCTAATTGATCAAACCCATCTTTACAAAACGGGTTTCCGGGGAATCGGGTTTGGGTTTTCCCTGATAAGTTTAAGAAGTTATACAATCAAGAATTCTCCAGATTATTATTGATCATGTTGTTGTTGAAATCTCAGGATTATTGGGTTGGTTTTGAATTGAGAGGGAAGATGGGTTTAAGGAAGAACCGAATGGAAATCCGGGTTTCAAATTGCAGGATGTAAAGGAAAGGAAAGGGAATCAATTGAATTCCTTGTTCATGTTGTGGTTTTTTCTTCTGAGTGATGATTCTTTGTTTGTTGAGCTGCTCTACCAAAAAGTAAAGAAGAAAGCTAAACTATGCCCACCAATCCATGATTAGAATCTTTAAATTAATAATGTTATCCCTGTGTGAAAAGGAAAAAAAAAAATAATACAAGTATTCCGTAATAATGTTATCCAATCTAACTTGTCAATTTGTCATGGACTAACCAAGTATAGTTTGGTCAAGTTTGCATTTTACGATCAAGAGTTTGGGGGATTAAACCCTACTAGAGATACTTTAGAGGTGGAGATTCTCTTACCCTTTCCCTCCACTTTTAGGGGTTGTTTGGTTCGCACGAGGGAATCGGAATGGAATGAACAAAGGGAAATGAGAAGAATGGAATGAAAATACCTAAAATTTGTGATGTTGTTTGTTTTAAAACAAAGGGAAACACTCCCTCTATTCCCACCACCACACAACCACCAGTATCATTCACTCTCCAACGTTCCCACCACCAAACCAGTCGCCGCACCTCCCCCACCGTTCTCCCTTCGCTAGCCTTCCCCCGTCCCTCGTCGACCCAGCGGAGGTCGTCCCTCCCCCGAAAATCTCCTTAGCCCAGAAAACCCTAAAGCCGCTAAAACCGCTGAAAAGCCTCACCACTCCCCGTGAAATCCTTCGAACGGCCCTCCCCCACCCTCGAAACCCTAGCGCCTAGGGTTTCGATGGTGGGGGAGGGTCGTTCGACGGATTAACCGTGAAGAGGGTTGGTTTTTTAGGTTTTTCGATGGTAGTGGAGGCTCGGGGAAGGGGCGGCGAAGGTCGGTGGAGCTGTGGAGGTGCGATTGGGTGGTAAAAGGGTGGTGGCTAGGTGTGGGTGTGGTGGTGGAGGGGTGGCTAAGGAAAGGGAATGGAAAAGTCTAGAGGGGTGGGTAATGAAGTTAGAAGGATTTAGGGTAATGGGGAGGGTAAAGGGAATGAAATAATGTGTTTAACAAACAACAACAAAGGGAATCGAGCCAGTTGATTCTCATTCCCTTTGTTGATTACCCCCAACCAAACGACCCCTTAAAGTGTCTAGTCCGCTAACCTGGGTTGGGAGGACCTATGAGAGGTTCCGATTCGATAAAGGCCCTTCTCCTTACCAACCCCCCCAAAAAAAAAATCAAGCTACAAATGAAGTTGAATAATTTAAACTTGTTCGATAAATAAACCATCTCTTTTATGAGAAAACTGCAATGAAAAATAAAAACAATTTGTCTCATTTACTAGCGGCAAATACAAGTTCATGCCCCAGATTTACGAAATTCGGTTATCTGATGGCATGAATTGTAAATAAGTGGGAAAAGCGTGCCCCTTAGTTCAAGTATTTTGACAATTCAAGATAGGATTCATACTCCGTATTAACTAATCGAGTTATTTAGGTTTGAATCAGCTTCTTCATATCTAGACGCATACTACTCTCTTCAAACACATGAAATTTGTGTAAGCATAGAGTGCACATGAAATTTAGTGTTGCATTATTATTGCAACCATTTTGAAACTTCTAGAAATTAAATACTTCACAATTGATATCCTTAAGCCACGTTATTTATTCTAATAAAGGACATAAACCCAATTACAATCAATCTACTCTTAACAATACAAATGCGCGAGTGGGAAGTTTACACGAGTAACACACTCCAACCAAAAATATATATTAATATATTATACATAATACATTTAATCATTTATAACCAACCAAAACTATATGATTATAAAGATTACAACTCAACATTTTTTGTTCATCATTGATGGGATCATCGTCATTTGAATATTTGATAGTGATTGACTTAGCATTATTCCTAGTGCTTCCTTCAAAGCATCGGTGGTGATTGCCTAAGCACTAAGCATAATTGTTGTGGACATTAAATCATGTGTGATCATAAAAAGGGATTTATGAATTTAAATTTTGCCTAAAATGAACAACTTTTTTTAAAACCCACTAAACCTCAAAGGCTATACAAAGTATATACACTTGGGGTTTATGTAATAAATGAGATTAGTCAAAAACCAATATTTTAGAAAAACAAAATTATTTCTTAATTATTATCGAAGTACTTTATTTCGATAATATCAAGTAAAATCATTTATTTGTATTTTTTCACGTATAGCATTTGTTGCTCTATTTAACTTTTTTTTTAACACAACATGTTAACCACCTTTATTATAGAGAAGCATAACCTTATTTGACACAAAAAAACACGCTATAATTAATGAAGGCATGTTAAGCTTAGTTACACAAGCATGACATGATGACATGTGGACTTGGGTCATGCATGGGCCAACCTTTTAAAATTTTTGGCATAACACATGGATTGTAGGATGTGCCACCCGCGCCTAGATAACCCCAAAATACATGAGCTCGACACGAGACATGACCCAAAATAACCCACTACAATCTTTAGTGTATACAAACAATGAGGTTTGAACTTTTGATATAATTCGTATGAAGAAAATTTAGGAAATTAATTCGCATGATCGAACGAATGGTAGCAAGCCAAGCGAAGTGATCCCAGGGAATGAAGGAGATAGGTCTCACGAGAAAGCATGAAGCGAGGGGCTAAATCTCATATAGAAGAGAAGGATCCGCCCCTTCCCTCACAGCTCCCTCTAGCCAAAGGAAATACTTGCATTCAGCTCCAAGCGAGAAAAGGATTGGCTTGAAAACAGCAAGAGACATTTTCTAAGTCAGAATGGAACGAATATGACAAGAAGATCGATCCCGTATGGAGCCATCGTCACAGTATGTCAAGAAACCTACCTTTCCAGAGGGTTTTGCAGACAAGCGCTTCAGGATCTTAATTACGGATTTTCTGCTGCCCAACAGACTTTGCTGTGCAACACCATAGCTGTCTCGTAGGCACCCTTTTCTTCAAGTCCGGAGACTGGAGCTTTGATAGGAAGTGCACAAAGTCTACCTAGGCTCGTTGGAGTGAGCAACTCTCCAGATCTATTTTCAACTGCCATATCAAAACGGTGCGTTGGGACTAATTATCATACTTATTAATAATTGGGGGAGAATGAGTAAGGCTATTTTCAGATAAACTTTGTCAAGCAAATACGAAGTACTTGCTTACTTAAGTAATTATCAAGTTACATATCCTTAAAAATTCATAATATGGTAAATAAAGCTATGGCAACTTCATATTTGGAAATGTACTTATAAAATTGGTGAGTCACTCTAGGACGAGTCTCAACTTCCATAGGTCCTTTAGGATGAAGATTGGAAAAGTCACTAATTAACTTTAGGATGTAGGATGAAATCCTACGGAGATTATTATGGTCATATTTTCCTTCATTAAATGTCAAGTTAAGCATGATACGAAGTAAAAAAAAAAATAATGATAACAAAAATTGTAAACGGAGGGATGAGGGAGTAATATTAATATAGTATATCTTATTGCAAATCGAGTTATATACTTCGTAATAGGCAAGATCATTTATTTCGAAGTTTGAATCTCATTCACATTAATGTCTTTCACGTTCTATAAATGAGGATTATTCTTCCAATCCACTCCTAAAAATGATAGTTTTACCCTTGAAAGATGATAGATATATGACATATATCACCCCTCCCACTCCATCCACATCTAGTGGGACCCCAATTCCAGAAAATACAAAACAAAAACAGAAAACAAATGACAGTCAAATGCTCTTTCATTCCTTTCAAAGCAAAGACCATTCAACTCTCTAAAACTCCTTTCTTTCTTTCTTTCTTTCTTTCTTTCTTTACTACCATTCAAAATTTCCAGCTAATAGTACTCAACCATGCCCAAAAGTTGACCTCAACCCTAAAACCTAAACCCCCCAATTCTTCTTCTTCCTCATTTCAATCTACTGTATATGTGTTTAATTTTTCTGGGTAATTATCAGTGATGAAGAAGAAGCAAAATTCAGATCTACCCACTTTCCAATTCATCATTTTCTCTCTCCTAACTCTCTCTTTTGCAGCTGAAGATGATGTAAAGTGTCTGCAAGGTGTAAAAAACAATTTGAAGGACCCACAAAGTAAGCTTAATTCATGGAATTTCAAAAATTCTTCAGCTGAAGTTGCTTTTGTCTGTAAATTTGTGGGTGCTTCTTGTTGGAATGACAAAGAAAATCGATTAATTAGTCTTCAACTTAGAGATTTTCAACTTTCTGGGGAAATCCCAGAATCTCTTGAGCTTTGCTCTAGCATTCAAAACCTTGATCTTTCTGGTAATTCTCTTACTGGTAATATCCCTTCTAAGATCTGTTCATGGCTTCCTTTTCTGGTAACTTTGGATTTGTCTAGTAATAAATTATCTGGTCAAATTCCACCTGATCTTGGTAAATGTCAGTATTTGAATAAATTAATTTTGTCTGATAATCAGTTATCTGGAAATATTCCTGTGCAATTGTCTAGTTTGAATCGATTAAATGACTTTTCTGTTGCTGGGAATGGATTATCGGGGCCAATTCCAGAGTCTTTTGCTAATTTTTCCAAGTCAGGGTTTGAAGGGAATGATGGGTTATGTGGGGATCCAATTGGGTCTAGTTGTAATGGATTGAGCAAGAAGAATTTGGCCATTATTATAGCTGCTGGTGTTTTCGGGGCGGCTGCATCGTTGTTAGTAGGGTTTGGGGTGTGGTGGTGGTATTTTTCGAGGGCGAGTCGAAGGAGGAAGGAAGGGTATGGGCTAGGGAGAGATGATGATGGTACTTGGATTGATAGGTTGAGGGCTCATAAGCTAACTCAGGTTTCCTTGTTTCAAAAACCGCTTGTGAAAGTTAAATTGTCGGATTTGTTGGCTGCTACTGATAATTTTAGTGTAGAGACTGTTATGATCTCGACTAGGATGGGAACTACATACAAGGCTATGTTGGCGGATGGTTCTACTTTGGCAATCAAACGTCTTAATACGTGTAAGCTGAGTGAGAAGCTATTTAAGACGGAGATGAATAGGTTGGGAAAGCTTAGGCATCCGAATTTAGTGCCATTGTTGGGTTATTGCCTTGTGGAAGATGAGAAACTTTTGGTATATAAGTACATGTCTAATGGGACTTTGCATTCAGTGCTACATGGAAAGACGATTGAATTGGATTGGCCAATGAGGTTTAGAATTTGTTTAGGTGCTGCCAGAGGGCTTGCTTGGCTTCATCATGGAGTGGAGCCTCCGCATTTGCACCAAAACATTAGCTCGCATGTAATTCTTCTTGACGAAGATTTGGATGCTAGGATCATTGATTTTGGGTTAGCAAGACTTATTTCTTCCTCAGAATCGCATAATCAGAGTAGTTTTGTTAATGGGGATTTAGGAGAGTCTGGGTA